AATATGCATCAATAAACAGTACTTCATGTATAAAAATGATTTTTAAGAGTTTTGTCAAATGCTTTATAATATAGTATAGATGGTCGGTACGTTGAATTCAAATAAGAAGACTAATGGACTGTTTACCCAAATGCTTACCCAATAAGTGTTTACCTATAGGAGTCAACGTTATAATTTACTTTGATGCGTAAGATTCTAGTACATCAATACGTATCGAATGCACCAATTTACTGGGTAAGCATTTATCTGGGTAAAAGTTGTCATCTTCACTTATCGGGTAAGACTCTCCATCCTTCTCATTGCTATTACCCGGTAAGATTATTGGCCCTTGTCATGTTTATGAGGAAATTTATCCAGTAAGCACTTATCAAGTAAGCATTTAGTAAACGACCCCTAAATATAGTGAGAAGGTAAGAAATGAGGTTAGGAGGTTCGTTTATGAATCACTGAAAAAATCCAAAAAGAATCTACTTAAAAGATGTATATGTGAAACGACGTTATGAATTATTCATATGGGTTTACATATGCATCTTCAAATGAATTTTTTCATTGATTCATATATGAATATATTTTACTACGCGGTGCGGTTTGGTTTTGGTTTATCAAACCGTGGTTCAAACCGCATTACACCAATTTTTTTGTACATTTTTTAATTTTCTATAACACATACACATGGACGGACCTGATGCCACCCATGCCACCGTATTATTTCGCGGCCGAATGATAAAAAATTTAGGTTTGTTAACGGTGCTACCGTATCGTTTTAGAAGGTGCTACAGTATTTCCCTGAAATCCAAATGGTGCAACTAAAACCCAAACAAAACAAAGCCCAAATAACCAAAACCATACTTTTTGTAATTATTTTTGGGTATATATTGACCGTTTTCAAAAGATGAAGACGCGTCAGGTACAAGTTTAGGAGTTGTTTATCGGTATAAAAACCATATTTTTTGTAATTATTTTTAGATGTATATTATACTATATTAATTATATGGTGCCACCGTTTGAAAAAATTTCTGATCCGTCCTTGCACATACACATACACATACACATACACATACACATACACATACACACACATATGTATATATATATATATATATAGAGAGAGAGAGAGAGAGAGAGAGAGAGAGCGTTTGGTTTAAATACTAACCAATCATATTCCATTTTTTTCTTTGATTCAAATGTAACTCATATATTAAATACAAGGGTATTTAAGTAATTTGTCATTTTATGTAACTCCCAAATAACTAATTGGGAGTTACAAATTTGAAAATATCACAATTGATCATGATGCAATATTGACATTGGGGTTTCACACGTGTTCATGTTCTATAATTCACATTTATTTTAATCGACAGTTCTCAYMTTTGACATATGAACACATCAGAAATCACACAACCTTAGATGCCATGATTCATAAGTGTTCATGTATATTCAAGTTATTAGATGTTCATATGAATACATACACACACAGAACATGTGAAAACATGTGCACGTATGAAAACACACAGCCCTAGATGCCTTGGTTCATAGGTGTTCATTTACATACAGCAGAGTTGGCTCCTGAATATACAGAAGTTGTTCATACGGTTCACATGTTGTTCATATGTCTAATCTTTTTTATTTGATGTGGTTTGAAGATATACACAAGTTGTTCATATGTCTGACAACTTATGTATTAAAGATAGATTACTTTTTACCTAAATACCCTTTGATATTTTGTTCACATATGTTAATTGAAAATATTAATTTAATAATTAATTTTTAAATATCATTAAATCACAACCGTTTATTATTCAAATTAACGGTCAAGATCGGTTAACAAAGTTAACATGATAATCTTGGTTAGCATTTGAACCAGTTCCGATATATATATATATATACATATATATATATATACACATATATATATATATACATATATATATATACATATATATATATACATATATATATATATACTAGAAGCGTACTCGCTCAATGCAGCGAGATACATCGTGATTTTAATATTTCATTTTATTCTTTA